CCCCAAAACCCCAAAACCCCAAAACCCCTTGATTATAAAATTGAAAGAATTGAGTATTATCAGTAAATTATAAAAATATATAATAATGAAAAAGCAGACATCAAGCCTGAGTATGTCCCTCTTTGGGACCGGAATAGAATCCTAGTCTTTGAAAAAGCAAACTACCTAAATGTCGATGATGCCGATTTAAGGAGGCTACTCTTTTAAAGATAGCGGCTTAATGAGTCCAGCTGTTAACAGATAAACCTAAAATAGGGGCTCCCTTACAGTTGAAAAACCAGAGAGGACAAAATGTAATAATATTAGTTTTTTAGATTTTCAAATATATTAATTATTTTGCTGTAGCTTTGACAGGTAGCTTAATTGAACCATAGAGTAAGGCTAGAATAAAAAATCTACTCAAAGATGACAAAAAAGATTAGTTTAATAAGCTTTTCTCTGAGGGAATGGAGGATTATTCTCTTTCAAGTTAGGAATAGATTCTAAACAGACCATTAGAAATCGTAGTTGAAGGGAGAAAATAGGCATTTGTGTAAAACGATCACATATTTCACATTTCCCATTCTTAATTAAGCACAGAAATCAGCGTTCACAAGAAAGCTAAAACTAAGATTATTCCATTACTAAACATCCCCTGCTTCTGTTGCCAACAACTGTTGACCAAGAGTACAAAATAAGATGTATGCGAGTTTTGTACGAGGTAAGGCTGCAAATAATGTGTGTATAAAAAATATCCTTTCCCTCAAAAGGATGAAAATGGCTAGATCTAAAAGGGCAAAATTTGCAAGATTTGCGAGACAAAATTCCACATTAAAAATGTAAGTAATTTTATATCAGCCTTATTTAAAAATAGAAATTGGTAGAGATAATTGGTAAAATTGAAAAGAAAGATGCGTTTTCTGACAAAGTTAAAAACTAGATGATAGAGTAATAGACGTAACTTAAAAACAATCAATTTGAGATGGATCAATTAAGGATACTTCAGAATGACAGGGAACAGCAGTATTTATCTTAGGCCGACTAGATAAATTACAAAATAAACGATTAGAAATCTTAGCTTGACAGACAAGAAAGAGAAAACAAAAGACTGATTGCCAAGATCAACTAGAAAAAAGAGGAATATGAATAGAAATAACAAAAGGTTAAAATCTTGAATGAGTAAAATGATAAATTGTAAGTTTAGTCATAAGTAACATAGTAACTATAGGACTGTTCAATTAGAATAAACAGAAAAAGATTACTAAGAGCGACTTAAGGACAAAGATTTGCTAGCAAAATACTTAAGATCAGTTAATCCTTCTACTATATAGCCTATTTAGAGAAGCTTCAATAATAAAAAAAAGGGTGTGAAGTAAAGTAATGCTCATAGACCAAGTACTTCCTCAGATATCTTAGGGTTTGGGTTTGATGAAAATAATGAGGAATTGGATTCCTTTGCCCATATGAGGAACAATCAAATATCTACAAGAAATTCTGGTATAATTACTCCAAACATTAAGGGATTAAATAAAAAGGCCAAGAATAAAATAGGGGACTAGAAAAGTTGCTGTGAAAGTTCGTGCATTTTATTTTGAAAATTATATGCACTTGAAGCATTTGATATTCATATTAAGATTAAGATTTATTTGTTATTGAATAATCGTTAATTTCATCAATAAATAAGCTTAATTAGGTTTACTCTATCTGAGCATTGATTGGGTTTCACTGTCTTAATGCTAAAATTTCACCCATCTCTTCAAAGTCTTCTCCATATTTAAATCTTTTATAAGATTCACCCTGATCATATTGATCATATTCATATCTAGAACTCCCTCTTTATTCCAAAGTGTCGCTGTTTCTTTTAACTCCAACTAATTTAACTTATTGCTTATTCTTAATCAGGAGATTTTTCTTCAAAGCTTTAGCCTCTTTTGCATCATCAATCTCAGCCAGATCCAAAGCAAGCACTTCAATAGGGTCAACCAAAGTAAAATCATCTGTTTTAAAGAAAGAATTCTTCTTGATAAGATCAGTCTTGAACATCTTTGTGTAATCTCTCACCCTTTAATCAATACTTTACTTCATTATAACTTCGATTTCCCAGAGACTTGAGTGCAGAGCTTTGGTCTCCATTGGATCTGCCTCATCTTCTTTAAATGGATCGTTTTAAATAGTCCTCACTTGAGAGTCTAATGCTTTCCTGACAAGTAGTTTGTTACATCTCGGGTGTCTTTTGATCAAGTTAGCTATAAATGAAACAATGAACATTGTATCTTAGGGTGTGAAGCATGCGCCATAAGAAACTACTATTCTTGCTAGTCTCTTTATAAAAGAAGCAATAAGCTTTGATGGTAATGAGGCTGATCTCAATGACAAGTCAAACAGCCTCAAGAAACGATGCTTATCTGACATTTGAAAGATCGAATTCATTGTTACAGTCTGCTTTTTCTCTTCAAAGATCAGAGTAGGTTGGATCATTGTATAAAGTTTCTTATAATAGTTTGGATAGTCTAGTCCGTGCTTTTCCAAAAGTATAAATATCCCTTTAAGTGCTAGGAATTAAATCTCAGTGTTATCATTCTAATCAAGCTGATTGGTCAAGAAATCGCTTAATAGAATAGGATTTTAAAAGTTAGGAATAACCCACTTATTCATCTCCTCGAGAATTTACTTAACTATATCCTTATTTTTAATTGATGGTAACCACCTCATGAAAGTCTTTTAAATTTCTAAAGCACATCTTTATTAAACGAAGAAAATACTTACATTGCTTAGTCATCTCAATAAGCTGCTTGTATAATTCTTAATCAATCTCACCCTCACCTTCTTCTTGACTCTCGATATAAAAATCATCTTTTTCTCCTTCAGAACTTTTAATCATTAGTATCTGCATATTGTCCTCTAAATGATCCAATACGGGCAAGTCCTTTAATATCTTGTAAACCTCCTCAGACTTAAATTTCTCATAGTTAAGATTTAGTCCGATAAGAGCGGACAATGAAATATCAATATAAGTATCTGTGAGCATTTTCTGATTCTCATATTTCTCTGCCTTCTGTTTTAAACCCTTAGCTAGTATCTACTGCAAATATGTATTTTCTGCTTACAATAGTGACAATACTGAAGGCTCCTCTTCCTGATTTTAAGCATGATTTGTCCTTGCCTAAGTCAATACTTACTCATTCGCATCCATTAGAAATTTTGTGATCTCGCCAAAGTGATCTACTGTCTTGGCCTATTCAATTATATTCTCTAACAACACTTTAATTCTCTTGACAATGAACTTATGAGTATCAAGCAAATGGGAGTCATCTTGATTTAGGATTATGATTTTATATTCGTTTTATGTAAGGAGTTCTTTTTCTAGTAAGACTTGTATAATTTGATCTAATTTCTTAAATACTTTTAAGGCCTAATTTTAAAAGTCCTTTATGAGCTATGGGATAATTTGGTTAAGTAGGTTGATATTCTCGACTGGGCTCTTTTTAAAAACTTCAATCTAATTTGATGATTACTACTTCATTTTTACTTATATAATATAAATTTTGTGCAATATTAATGCCAAAATTCTTAACGGGGTTTTGGGGTTTTGGGGTTTTGGGG